CTGTCTTGGTCTTAACAAGGTCTTGCTCTGTCACCCAGGGTAGAGTGCAGTGTCATCATAGCTCACTGCAAATTCAATCTCCTAGGCTTCAGCGACCCTCCTACCTAAGCCTCCCAAGTAGCTGGGACGATAGGGGTCAGCCACCATGCCCTGTTAATTTTCTCTGTTTTTAGCAGATACAGGGTCTTGCTCTTGCTCTTGCTCAGGCTGATCTCAAACTCCTGACCTCCCAGAGTGCTGGGATTACAGGCATGAACCACCTCACCAGGCCTTAGTTAGTTTTCTATATTGGATACCATGGAATGTTCTCTGTATGTTTTTAGTGTTAGGAGTTAGGATTGGAAATACAGGAATATTCTTTGGAGAGTGGAGTATTTGGGTTTGTTGAATGTTTTGGATAACTGAGAGTTAATCTGTAATACAGTAAATCCTTAACATTTTTGGCAGGTTAATGGGGTCTTGGAAGACTTTAAGTAAAATGATGTCTAACATTGATCAGACCAGTTTTTTTCTCATCAATGTTATAGCAAAATGATGTTGAAGGAAAAAAACATTATTTGAGAACCTTCTGTATGTCTTTCACTTAAATTCACAGTTCCTAAGAACCTGTGATGATGTTGAGTGAAGACTTAGGTGCAATCCTCCCTTACCTCTTTTTTTGTTGCAACCCTTGTTGAATCATACATATTCCCTATTATGGTAAATAACTGTACATATACGTGTACTTTAGAGATTAGACTGCATTGTCACAAGGTCCAGTTCTAAATGACTAGTACCATTTTTGCAAGATGTGGGCAATTGTAGGAAACTGAATGTGAACCAACCCCAGTACTCCACTAGCTTCTTTTCACTGAATTCCAGGCATAAACAAATTTATGACATTTTCTTTGTTTCTTTTTCACTTAATTATAGTGCAGAGAAAGTGATCAAATTTAATTGAAGTCCTGGTTTGTTGACTCTAGTGAGTCAGTCAGCAAACTGTCTTACTCTGCCATTCTGTGCTCTTCCTTCTCAAGCATAAACCATGGAAGAGCTCAGAATGACAGAATAAGATAGCTCCAGCAGTTCAGGAAAGGTAGTGTACATTTATCTATCCAGTTTCTTCCAGGAATTGTTTGTATCAGCTCCAAAGCATAGGAAACTTTAATTTGCAGCGGTGGTATGGTTAATGAGAATTGGAGAAAGTTGGTCTGCTTGGTTTTGGGTTCTCATTTTAAATGATCTTTTTTAGAGTAAAAAAACAAACTGTGTTTTTCTGACTTACAGGCTGAGGAAGATGCCCACCTGGATGGGGCTGTTCCCATCCCTGCAGCGTCTGGGAATGGAGTGGATGACCTGCAGGAGACAATCCAGGCTGTGGTAGACAACGTGTGCTGGCAGATGTCTGTGGACCGAAAGACCACTGCCCTCAAACAGCTGCAGGGCCACATGTGGCGGGGAGCGTTCACTGCTGGGCGCATGAAAGCAGAGTACGTGCTTATGTTAGCCCAAACATTTCACCAGCCCCAAACTCAAATTTGTTTTTCTAGTCCTCTCTTCCCAGTGTAAGCTGAATAATTAGTAAAACCAATTAAATCAACATTCTTTTTGTTCTAACAAGTAATTATTTTATTTTATTTTTTCAAAGCTGAGCTAAAGCATTTCACCCAGCTGAAATCCACAGACCTATATGTCTGGCTTTGTGGGATGGTTGAAAGACTTTTAGTCCCAGTTTAAAACAACTTCCTGTAAAACTGCTTCGAACTAAGTCATACTTGGTCCTCCGCATGTGAGTGACAGTAACATTGGGCTGCTCTCCAGGTACGCTGGTGACTTGCTTTTTGCTCTGCTAGAGAGTAAGAATGCTATGGGATTATGTACCCCATTATTTTGGAGTCACTCAGAGAATGTCTGCACTGCTACTTTTACTGTGCTCTTTTGAGCAACTTCCACAAATCCTTTTAGTCTTATTTGTAGAGTTCCTGATAATACTGAGGTGCGTTATAGTATTGCTGAGAAGGTCTTAATAAGATATGACCCTAAGGATTTTAGTCTGTTGTCTGATGTAAACCCTAAGATTCAAGATCGTTTCCAGCTGCCTGTATTTCCTTTGTATTTCTGTCAAACGACATGTTATTGTTTTATTTATATACTTTATAAGGAGCTTCTACATTTTAAATTTCAGGATATGACAAAGATCTAGGAATACCAGCTGGGTTCATGTAGTAAAAGACACAAAAGAGCGGGCCCAGGAGACGGTGCTCTTAGCAGGGACCCTTCTGCTGATCTTTGTTCTGTAATTACAAAACCAGGGGCTTGGCATACATGACCTTAAACTGCTAAGGTACTGCTTTGGAGCAGTAACAATCTCTACAAATCTAATGTGGGAAATTCTGGGTCCATGACTGCAGAGAAAGCGCACTTACAGTGACATGTCCTGGCTTTCAGTAGGTTCATCTCTCCTGCAGTTAGGACATGCTAAGGACATGTTCAGTGGAAGATTTCTAGTTGACATTTTCTTTTTATTTATCTATTTTTTATTGAATAGTAACTGTGTACATTAATGCACTTCTGGGGTACAGTGGGGTATTTTCACAAACAATCCGAAACACTTCCATCAAACTGGTTAACATAGCCTTCACGTAATTTTCTTAGTAACTGTGTTAAAACGTTCATATTCTACTCATGGAAAGATTCACTTGTACCCTTGTAAGATGAACCACAGAAGTGAACCCTCGAATATCCCTCCCTCCACCCATTCCCCCCTCCCTCCCCCTTCCCCCGTATCCTTAGGTTGTTATTAGGTTATAGCTTTCATATAAAAGGTATAAATTAGTTTCATGACATTTTCTATTTAATATTTTAAAGATGACTGGTTTCACAACCGAAGTTCCTTATGCTTCTCTTTTCAACCTTTTTGTGGTGTTATTTCCTCCATTAACATAGAAGACACCGTGACATTTGTAAAAGAGAGTGTCAGGAGTCAGAAAATCAGATGCTGTTTGGAAATTTGCCGTGTGAGATAGGGCTACTCTCTTAACTGCTACTTATGTATTTTTTTCCTATGGACTAAAATGTTAGGTTTTCTTAGTTCTCAAGAAATGTAGTTCCAAATAACGACAACAACAAGAACAACAAAATAGCCAGGCGTTGTGGTGGGCACCTGTAGTCCCAGCTACTTGGGAGACTGAGGCAAGAGAATCGCTTAAGCCCAAGAGTTTGAGGTTGCTGTGAGCTGTGACACCACGGCACTCTAGCAAGGGCAATATAGTGAGATGAGACTCTGTCTCAAAAAAAAAAAAGAAAGTAGTTCCATTTTTAGCTAATCAGAGTTTTATAGTTGTCAGCTCCCAAACCTTTTTTTCAATCATTTTGGGTACAGCTCTTTCTAAGAGCATTCTCATGTCCCTTAAAATGTACTGGATTAATGTAATCTTTTCTTGTGAATGACATCAGAGATCATGTAATAGTTTAACATAATTGCTACTGTGTGCTTTTTTGAGTTCCTTGGGAATTTAAAAGCTACTCTTTTGGGTTTGTTTGAGACAGAGTCTCTCACTCTCACCCTCCCTAGAGTGCTGTGGTGTCAGTTACCTCAAACTCTTGGGTTCAAGTGATCTTCTTGCTCAGCCTCCCAAGTAGCTGGGACCACAGATGCCCACCACAACGCTCAGCTATATTTTTTGGTTGCAGCTGTCATTGTTGTTTGGCAGGCCTGGGCTGGATTCGAACCCACCACCTTAGGTGTATGTGGCTGGCGCCTTAGCCGCTTGAGCTACAGGTGCTGAGCCTTCATTTTATTTCTAAAGCAAATGTTAAATAATGAAACTCCTTAGTCGTTGGTGACTGTTTACTGAATATAGATAGGAACTTCTTTTCTGCTCTCTGATGGAAGAGGCAATAGGTGAGAATTGACAAGATATGATAATTACCAACTGAATTTGCTAATAATTTTATTTGCCAATTATCAAGTGAAACAAACCGAGAAAAATAAAATGTGCAAAATCAACTGTTAATTTCTTGAAAGTTAAAAAAAAAAACCCTTAATATTGCCTAAATTTGTCTTTGAGCACATTATTAGATTGGTTTTTAGTCTGTGAAAAGCTCTGAAAACATTCAAAGGATCACATCAGAATAGCTAATCCTAAGTATGAACTTACTTTAATTACTGTTGGTTAAATTAGCAAGTTACAAATTTGACTGCAATTATTCAGAGAGGACAAAGACATATGATAGCTTGAGTAGAATTTCATAATGTTTTTATTAGAAAGTGAAAGTTTCGGAACACCCAGGAAGTGACTGGGCTGGGAGCTGTCCCCGGTTCTCTGCTCTGCTCTCTAGGGTGCCTCCCGGGGTCCCTCAGACCCTGCCCCACTCCCACTTATGTGGTCATTGCCTCGACCCAGGCTCTGACCCCAGCCAGTCACTCTGGAGCAACCATGTCATCTGACGTCAAAGGCTACAAGCAGGACTGCGCAGTGCTCACTGCAGAGATCACCAGCAAGATCGCGAGGGGCCCCGACACCTGCCTGGGATATTGGCTTGAAGCCAGGATCTCTGAACTTAGCCCCCACTCATCTCCCGAAGTCCCAGTTAGTTCTGGAGGAGGTGGAGGATGTCTTAAAGAGGTTTATGAGTCCAAGTGAAGGAACAAGAGGGGAGAACCAAGGTAGCATGTACCAACCAACTCTACTACCTCAAGAGATTTTTGTGGCGCAAGTGGCCGATGGCCTCATCACTTCCTGGTACATCATCTCACCTCTTCAGTTCTTCTTGTCTGCACTGCCTAAGATCATCCTGATTTTTATTGTGATTGTTGTAGGAAACTACTTCCATTGAATTGAGTCCCAGAGCTTAGATTTTCAGGACTGTGGTTTCAGTTGGATTTTTTTGCTGATTTATAATTTTAATTGTTTTAGCAGGAGAAACTTTTCTTCAGGCTAATAGCTTTTGTATTGGGCAACTGTTATGCAAACTAACAAAGCCATCCGCATTTGCGAAGTTGTAAAACTGTTTCCAAGAAAATAGATTTTGTTACAATTGAGTTTTTCTTGGCTTTATTTTATTTTTTTTTTTT